AGGCGCTCTGGGCTCATGTGCCCCTTTTGAGTTAGGGTTTAGGGTTCAGGGGTTTAGGGTTTAGGGTGTTTAGGGTTTAGGGTTTAGGGTTTAGGATTTAGGATTTAGGGTTTAGGGTTTAGGATTCTTTTTTGAAGTGGAAGAGCGAAGGGTATTCGTGTTAGGGGGGTTGTTGCTACTATTGATGTTGTGGTTGATGTTGTGGTTGCGGTTGCGTTGCGGTGGTGGTGGTGGTGGTGGTGGTGGTGGTGGTGGTGGTGGTTTCGGGAAAGCCGTTTAGGTCGCATGCTGGGCTGAACTTGGGTTCAGGGGTCTGAGGTTCCTTGCTGCATGATGGGCAACATCCCAAAAAGGAGATCTTAATTGTAAGCAGTACCAAGCCGTGAAGCCCTGACTGCTCCCCTGTCTTCAGGTAAGTCGCTGAATGATGCCGGCATCGCTCAGGAAAAAGTCTTTGATCATATGCGGATTCAGCTTTCAGGATTTGTGTAAGGGTTGGGGCTTAGGGTGCGAGGTGTTTAAAGTTTATACTAAACCCTAAACCCTACACCCTACACCCTAAACCCTACACCCTACACCCTAAACATTATGCCCTAAACCCTAAGCCCTACACCCTAACCTGATCTTCCAGGATTCAGGGATTCCAAGATTTATCCCATGGATCGTACGTCAGGCTTAGCCTTTCCCAGGTCTCCAGAAAGAACGGACTATTCGGGTGTAGGGTTTAGGTGTTTAGGGTTTAGGGTTTAGGTGTTTAGGGTTATTTAGGGTTTAGGTGTTTAGGGTTTAGGGTTCGGGGCACTTGTCAGTTTTGGTGTAAGGATACTAACGGGGTTTCCCCCAAGCGAATTAGGGCGTGATACTATGCATGCGCAGAATTTGGTGGTGACCGTAAACCGTCCACATCTCTACACCCTGAGTATCCTTCGTTCTGAATTCGTATTACATTTCTTCGCCAGCCCAGGTTCCTTTCAACTTATAGGTCTACATTCAGGACAGATCTACATGTAGGCCTAAACCCTAAACCCTAAACCGTGTAGGGCCCATACGTCCTGAGACTCCTTGCTGCCTGTGCATTTTTCCATAGGCCTGTCCCTGCAGCACGCAGTTGTGCGCTTGACGAGAGGCCGCCTGTTGAAAAAAAGGCTGCGCAGCAGGGATGTTGCGGGGCTTTGAGTTTAGCGTTTTGGGGGCATAGGGGTTCAGGCTTGTAGGGTTAGGGTTTAGGGTTTAGGTTCAAACAATCCGGCAGGGTGGGTTGCTGCACTTCTCCCCGCGTGCTTATCTTTTTGCTTCGGGCACCCGCTCTCTACACCGAACCCACACTGGCCCATAAACCCCAAACCCTAGGCCTCAAAGCCTAACCCCCCTAAACCGAACCTTAACATCTCCCAACGCTGTGAGACGCATGTGGTCTCTGCGGAAGGTTTGGGGTTTAGGGTTTCCCAGCACATCGAATCCCCAACCCAGACCTGTTGTTGCAAAGGTTATACCCGAAACTGAAGGGGTCATAGCCTACTACTTTGTAGGGTTTGGGGTTGCAGACAAACCATGTACCTAAATCCTCAAAATCAACAAAAGCCCTAAACCCTAAATCCTCTAAATCAACAAATACTTCACATCTCATTTTACAAGAATCCGTTTTGCGCCCATAGCGCCCATCATCTCCCTAGCTATCGCTGCCCTTGCAAGACGCTCATCTTTCGCCCCCCTTTGCAAAAGACCCGCGAACCCTAAACCCTAAACCCCTAACCCTAAACCCGAACTGAGGTTGGGTACCCTAGGCACGACGATGTCAGTGGAGTGGATCCTCGGTCCTGGCTTCTTCATGCGACCCCTCCAGTCGGTGGTTGTCCGTGGATAGGTTTCCCAGAGGGCTTTGCTAGGGCTTGGGGTCTGTTGGGGAGAGTTAGCATCAAACGTTCCTAGAGCTTTCGGTTGCGATTTGCTATGTTGTCTTTCATGTAAGTTGGCGGCCTCGCAGTAGCAATCCCGGGGTCTTCTGAAGAGTTTACAGAGTGAGGCTTTCTGTGATCACGACTGTGGTCACTGACTTGCAATCATAGTCGTGTGGGGATGCTTCGTCGAGATCAGCAACCTTGTTTTAGACGCGCTGTTCGTCGTATTGCAGCATTAGGGATCTTGTAAAGATGCACTTTTCACTTGTCTAGGTCTTGTAGGGCTTTCAGGATTTCCAATCAGGCTTTGAGGTTTGCTACAGCATTACCCGCAACCCTAAACCTTAAAAGCAGCCCTAAGCCATCCTAACACTGAGCCCCAAAGGCTAGGCATTCAGGACTACAATGGGTGACTACTACTACTACTACTGGTGGGACGAAGCCGAACTGACGGAGCGCCAGTTAGCAAAATCCCGACAAGACTTGCGGTACTTATGAATTCAGGGTTCAGGGGTTAGGGGATTTCGGGTTAAGGG